AGCGTATGAAGCTCGAGGATGCGAGATGAGCTTAAAAGTTCATTTCTTACACTCCCATATTGACTGTTTTCCCGAAAACTTGGGAGCCTACAATGGAGAACAGGGTGAAAGATTTCACCAGAATGTCCGTGATATCGAGAGACGTGAAAAGGAAAATGGGATGTCAATATGTTAGCTGACTACTGTTGGATGCTCAATCGAGAAACCAGAGAAGGAAATTGGAAACGAGTTTGGAGAAGCATCAAAAAGAAGAAGAAAAGGTTTCATAAGAAAAAAGAGTAGACCTAAAATTGTGTATAAATATCAGAAACAATTTGTTGATTAGTTGTAAGAAAATATTTATTACAATGAACTAAATATATTATAAGAGTTTTTATCAAAAATTTGTTTTTATTTTGCAAAAAACCTTTACGTGATGGGATGTAACGGAAGTTATTTTTAGAATCTGTGATCTTTAAAACATATAATTCAGCAAAAACATTCCATGCAGCTGGAAAAAAATTTTTTTTGCAGACCTGTGTTATTTTTTTGATTACTTCATCTCATGCATTTAAATTTTAAATCGACCGATTTTAGATTGCCGCGCGTACCCCTTCACGCAATTTCGCGTACCCCCAGGGGTACGCGTACCACTAATTGGGAACCACTGATTTAGAGCAAAGAGTACTTTATACAGGCTTTTTTTTTTTTTAGATAAAAGGTGAATTGGTAATCATTTGGCCCACCTTTATTCTTAGTAATTGTTGCAACTCTCTGATGTATGGAGTTGATTAATTTTTGGCAAAAATCAATTGATTTCACTAAATCTTGCAGTATAGTGATTGCATAAGATAATTTCCTGTACACACTTCTCTAACTGCAGTTACAAATAACTAAACCTTAAAAACTTTTAAAATGCAGTTTTTTATTTTATGAATAAAAAGACTGCATTTTAAATGTGTTTAAAGTTTATTTAATAATTTCCTGTTCTAATGCAATAGAATAAAGCAACAGAATACAGGTATCTCTTACCTAATGCTGTTTTGCTTAATGTATGAAATTAATTGCAGCAGTCCCTTTATATATGTGATAGAAGTTTTAATTAATGCAGCTTTACCAGCTGTCTTTATTTAACATAGATACCGTATTTGATTAATACAATTTTGATATACATGATAACACCGAGGGATTAATTAACTGCATTAATCAATGCATACCTGTAATCATTTTGAGCAGTATTTTATGAAAAACAAAGAAATTGCAAATCTTGCAATACTTATGGCCACCAATATACAGGGGCCAGGGTTGGTAGATTGGGGTTTGCTTTACCTAAAATGAAAACTTTTCAAGTCAAGTGGGAAAATATGGGGAAATTTTATATTCTCAAAGGGAAAATTATGGAATATATATTTTTTATTTTCTTAGTTGACTAGAAAAGGCCTTATTTTAGGTAAAGAAAATCCCAATGTGATAACCCTGACAGGAGCTCTCCTACTTATGAATGTTTAACTTATGAACTTTCAGATTTACAAACAATTTGATCATACATCCTAAAATTTAAATTTCTCATGGATTCTGAAGTTCTGTTAATGCTTGTGGAGTGGCATTGAAGTCAGTCTTTAGTCAGTAATAAATAAATAATGTGGGCTTATTTCTATTATGTATAATCATTTTTTGTTTTCATGCAAATTCTCAGTCTCTATTGCTGCTCATGAGGTGGCATCAAACTTGGTAATGTTGGAGTAATGGCATTTTTTGATATTGTTTGCAATTTTTATAAACTTTTGTGATTAGTGCTTCAAAAAGGCATCCAAAACATAATAGTAAATCTAACAGTGGATGTAAATGCAAGAAGTGTTGTCCTAGTAACATGGAAACTAAACTTGATGTTATAAAACTAAGTGCATTAAGTGAAAAAACCACATTTGAAATACCTGTTACTAAGCAATAGTGAATGGGTAAATGAATATAAAATATTCTATTAAGTATGCTGAAGTGAAGGATCAAACACTAACAGTACGAGATTATTCTGTGTACAATTGTACATTCTAGATTAGTTTTTGACTTATGACAAAACCTTGTGAACCTAACCTGTTCTTAAGTAGAGGAGCTCCTGTATATTTTTTTATAACTGAAAGTGTTGTGTTGAATATATATATTTTTAATAATATCTATTTCATTCAATGAATGAATGTAAATCTGGTTATTACTTTATAAGAAATAAAAGTTAATATAAATATAAAGTAATATGAATCTAAAAATGAATGGTTATATTTGAATCAGTTTTAATTTATATTATAAAATAGACTTATTGTATATATTTTTAATACTATAATTCCATACTTTAAATTGATTTATCATTCATAAGCTATTAATATAATGTCCAGGTCTTGTTTTAACACCCATGGGCTGTAAACTCAAAGCAAAGTACTGGTAATAAAGTTATTCACTTTCCTAAAATGTTGAATTTTTATACTTTACTACACTCCTTCATACACACAAATAACATATACTTCTTTTGCTATGTGGGTGCAGTCATCTTTGATCAGTTATAGCTACACAAAGGTAACATAAATGAAGTCTGCTACTATATACAGTATTATGCCAACACACACTCTACGAAAGAGCTACTTCAGAATGTATAAGGTGTTATGCAGGAAAGTACTCAACAGGTCTGGAATTGTTGTCTGCTGAATGCAGCATATTTTGCACATCTATATGTAATAATCATATGAATTATTGTGTTAGAATTATTTTATTTCACTTACACAAGTGCTCTTTAGATACCATTATAAATTATAGAAATAAAATAATCCTAACACAGATTAAAATAATAATAAATAATCATAAATTACTAAAATCATCACAAAAAATGTTTTTGGTTGCTGAGACACATTTATTTGCTATATGCTAACATTTTCAGCCTAATGTATAGGCCATTCTCAGGTGGCATATTTTTGGAACTTCAATTACAAACTTCCAAAATAGTATGCAATAAATATAGAATATTAGAATTTCAACTTTTAAATATTTGAATATAAATGTAACATCTTTTTCAAATAATTCCAACATAAATGTAACATAAAAATTAAAAATTCTAACCTAAAAATAACATAAAAATTAAATTTCAACATAAAAGTGAAATGAAATAAAATAAAAAATAAAACTGAAATTGCAAATTTTTAAATACAAAAGTATATCATAGTAAATGAGATAACTAAGAGTTTGTATAAAGAAGCTTTATAGTGTATCCAAACTAGAAAGAGTTGAAAACTGGTCCTCACTTTCAGGGGCAGCCCGAGGGCAGTGCAAACGGTGTGACCACACCAGGCACCGTCATAGGAGGAGTGCAGAAAATGCAATGATAGATCATCTATGCAAAAAAATAAAACCCAATCACCTTATTACTACCTAATCCTACCCACCAAAATAAATTCTATACAACAGTGAGCTGGGTTGTGTGCATTTTAAAGGTATACACATATAGCATGAAATTCACACTTAACGTTGTAGACTATTAACCTTTTCAAACAAATATTGTTTCCTTTTACTGTTATTGTTTCTCATCTATACTACTACTATGCTAATCTTTTGGAGGTCTGAGTTATTAATAATGTAAAAAATGTATGTTATCTTCAGTCTCTATGTACAGGTTAGTCTCTTTAGGGAGGATGCCACAATGAGGTCTCACACCACCTGAAAACCTTGCTAGGACCTCACCTGCTCACTTTTTATGTCTGACATTACTTTTAGTAACTGGTTGTAAATAACTAAAAACTAATCTGTCAGACATAAAAGTAAAATAAAGTAAAGGATATTTCATTAATAAATGAATAATAATCCTGTTTTTAGAGCTGAAAATAGGGAAAGAAATATTAATTTTCAAGATTTTTATTTTTACTAAAAAATCTTATTTGTACTTTTGTAATCAAAAGCATGAAAATATACTACTTTAATGTAATTAAATGATTATATTTTTTCACAAAAGGAGAAAATTTAGGATTTAAAAATAATAATATTTTTTTAATATTAAAATATTAGTCTGTAAAACTTGATATCATATTAATGTATGTACTTAAAATCTGCTTATTCAAAAGACTAAAGTTGTTTAAGTTATTTTTGAAATCTTTTTCAATTTTTCTTGAATCAGCTTTAGCCAAAACTTCTTTGAAATAAAATTTTTAACTTTTAATAAAACATAGAATAAAACAGTATCAAACAAATGTTTTTAAATTTGAATTATGCTATACATTATAATGATGTAGAGGTGCTATTTTAATATTCTAATACTTTAGTTTCCTGAATAAGCAGATCTGAAGTAGGTATGTTAAAAATATTAATTTTATTTTTAAATTTGAAAATATTAATTATTAATTTATTATTATATTTATAGGCAAATGGAGAAGCACAAGAAATACTGTCATTACGTCAGGGACCTGTAAAAACTCTGAGATTACTTCAAACTCCAGAAAACAGTAAATTAAATTTTAAATTTTGGGTTAAAGAGCACATACTATACTTACAATGTCAAATAATTGTAATTAATTACAAGTTACATTTCGGCTGGATCATGCTGGTATGGAGTACCAACAGATAACATGAAAAAGTGCCAGTATCAGTAGCCTGTACATAATACTAGCACTTGCTCAGTAAAAACAATAAAGTTTGTCTCCATATGTGCATACTGGCAGTAATTCTTTTTAGAGAAAGAACACTGATTACAGTAGACTGTCGATTTTCCGAATCAATTGGGGACTGGGGTTGTTCATATAACTGATATTTCGGATAACCGATTTATGTACGAAAAAATAGTTTAACGTATCCGATGTTGAAATTTTTCTCCGTTGCGTGTCGCTTCGCGTTGAATTTTCGACGATGTTAAGCCAAACAAAGACTATTGTATCGTTAAAAATAATTTTTTTATTTTGTACAAACAAAATAAATATATTGAAAAATATAAAAACAATAAAAAATTATACTTCAGATGTTAATTTAGTATCAAAAATGTGAAATATTTGAGTAGCCCAAGACATAGCCAAAGATTGAAGCTCCACAGCACTGGCGAAAATTTAAATTTGCCGACTGGAAATCTTTCAGATGATTGATGTTTCGGATGATTGACTTTTGGAAAATCGACGCTCTACTGTAATTATGAGTAAAAACTCTTTGTTGTATAATTGAATGCTTTTTTGAGTCATATTTAGTATTTGCTTTTTAAAACTATGAACTGTTTATACAGTTTATAGTATTTTAATATAGTCAAGGGTTCCATGGTAATTTAACAAATCTGTACATTTGCAAGAATTATAGAGATCATAATTAGAAAGCAATAAATAACAATATAAGGCCAAATGATTGTCAGATTATATCTGGCTATACTAATGTTACTAATTAAATGTCAAGTAATTTGACCTAGAGATGGTGTTAGGTGTCATCGCTTGATAAATTTAATAATTATAATTAAATTAATATTTAAAAAATTAATTTAGAAGGTTCTGGAAGAAAAGAATTGGACTCAAATTTACAACTCCTGCTTGCCATGCAGATGCGTTGCCAGTTACACTACCTGGACCTCTGTCTGGTCTCTGCTTCTGTGACCAGAGGGTCGGCACTTCTTTAGTGCCTTGCCAGGACTGACACCACTGTGTCTTCAGGATAGATACAGAAACCTTAATGGTCACAACTTTGGAATTTGCACAAGCGATTATGTGTGCGGGCAACCGGATTTGGGATGGAGGGGAGTTGAGAGATGGTGGACCAAAAGTGAATCACGCGGATACAAAGGTAACAACTAAAATAACTGATTAATTCAACTAAAAAGAATACATTTTCATATATCGAATAACGGTCGAGAGAGAGTGTTTACAATAAACTGCAAGTTGATATAAATATGTGAGAATACAGGGGCCGTTACTTAAGTGATTAGCAATACGCTCCCTATTGGAACTTATGGTCTACTCATATTGTCTAAGGATGGCCTTTTATAATGAGTGGTAAAAATGTGGAGTACAATCATAAAATCACCATCTCCAGTCAGGATTCCCGACACCAGATACAGTTTGATATCGTGCCCTATCGATATCGTGATATCGATAAAGGAAATCTTGAGGTATTATCAGAAAGTGACTGATTTTATTAAAAAGAAACATCCCGAAAAGGTTTGGCTGTATTGCTATCACCAGTAAACTTCTATATACAGATATATGTGACGATGTCCGTATAAACCATAGGAGGATCTACTTCTCTATATGAGTGGAGACTAATTAACTAGACCATTATAAAAACAACAAAAATTTTAATAATAAAAAGGAAAATTGATTACAAATAAAATAACTAAATATTTTATTTAGCTTAGAGAGCATTACAATATAATAATCCCTAATATGGGAGATAAGAGAGAGAGTTTACAAACAATATTATATTACCTCTGATAATATAACTTGACTTTTCCCAATTCTATTTGGTGGGAGGAAGTTCCAATCCCCAGAAGTACCATGCTGGGATAAAGTGATAGCTGATATATATACAGTGGTACCTCAGGATACGAACGCCCCAGCATACGAAATTTTCAGGATATGACATGAAATTCGAACATTACAAAAACTTTTAACATATAAGCGTTAAATTAGAAAATTTAATTAAATTTAATTAAATTAGTCTAATTTAACGCTTATATGTTAAAAGTTTTTGTAATAAACGATTAGCGTGCTGTCCATTATCAAATTATAGAAATTCGAACATATTTTTGCTCCATGATACGAACAAAAATTTACCATACGATGTTACATTAGTTCGCAGCGCCATTTTTTATTCATTTCTGTTCATTGGTCTCAGTCCGCGTGTTTGCTTCGTCGTGGAAGGATTTTGCTCGATAAAGGAAATCTTGAGGTATTATCAGAAAGTGACTGATTTTATTAAAAAGAAACATCCCGAAAAGGTTTGGCTGTATTGCTGCTCGGAGTAACGACATTTGCCTAAGTTATTTTAGAAACATTTTAAAAAGTAGGCAAAGCCAAACTTCTTTACCAAGCAACCTCTATCCACTGAAAGTGCTGGTGGAAGTGAAAGAAAAAAGCAAAAAGCAGTAAATAAAAATTAAAACAAAAAAATATAAAACAACACTAATTTTTTAAAATCTTNTTACATTTATTACCTTTAAAATACAATTCTAATAATAATGAAAATAACATAAGGTTATTTAATTTTAATGCGACAAATGTGCATGATTTTCTTTGCGCAACTTTGTTGTTTTTTGGTCAGCTTCAGTCTCAAGTCATCTTCGAGTACAAGTCGGTGACGATTCATGTTTGTCACGGCTGAAAATTCACTCTCACAGAAGTATGTTGTGCAAAATGGTAGTAAATATTTTATTGCCGCTTCACAATAATAATGATAATTGTACAATTAACACAAATTGTGTTAATTGTACAATTTTTGTTTCTTGCGTAAGAATTTCATTTAGATATCATCACAATGCATTTTTTGATGAAATTTCGAGAATATTTTTAGTTATAAATAAACGAATTTGCGCATTCGACATCATGTTGTAAATTGCCGAATTTTTGATGGTCCACCCATTATATAGGTCTGCAAGTAAAAAACTGCATAGGATTTTTATACATTTTCTTACAGATTTCAACTTGGAGGAAACGAAAAAAATACCAGAAAAATTCCATCTCGTCAATTTTTTTGTTACACTCAAGTTTTCGTTTGTATTTAGCGTAAAATTCCTAGTTAATTAACTTAAAATTTACTATTCTTTTTTATATTTAAAAAATAGCCTTAAAATGAAGACTTCTCACATTAATTCTATCAATTATAGCTGGACTTGGTAATAAATAAATAAAAATGGTAATTGTTGAAGAGAGTAGTGGTGGGGGAGATGAGTTATGTAGTTTTTGCGTTAGGAGGAAGGTTTTATGATCATATAGAAACGGGTTAAAAGTTGATAGTGAGTAATATTATTGGTGAGGTTGAGCATGTTTCAACATGTTATCTGGGATAGTAGGAATAAATATAAACAACCTGCTGTTGGATTAGATCGTGTTTCAACAAGCTAAATAAGTTCAGTATCTTGCTGGGCATCTAATGCCACACTCAGTTTATATCCAGCATTCGAACGCTGCTGTGCTTATATTTTTATTTCTGTAATATGGCTCGCAGAGGTTGTGTAATTTCTCCCGACAGCTTCTGTTATGTTTGTAGTGAATACACAGTGAAAAGTCAACAAAGAAACATAAGTGAGTTAGTGAAGAAAGTTTAATTTGCCTATTTCAAATTGAAACTTGGAGATCGAGACAAAGCAGAGTTCTGGAAACAATAGGAGAAAAGGAAAAAGAAGCATGGGACACTTTCAAGAATGTAGTGCATAAGTTTTTGGGAATACTAAGGACCCTGACTACAAAACCATTGTACAACGCATGCTGGCAGCAGCGTATGCAGCTCGAGGATGTGAGATGAGCTTAAAAGTTCATTTCTTACACTCCATATTGACTATTTTCCCGAAAACTTGGGAGCCTACAATGAAGAACAGGGTAAAAGATTTCACCAGGATGTCCATGATATTGAGAGATGTGAAAAGGAAAATGGGATGTCAATATGTTAGCTGACTACTGTTGGATGCTCAATCGAGAAACCAGAGAAGGAAATCGGAAACGAGTTTGGAGAAGCATCAAAAAGAAGTAAAGGTTTCATAAGAAAAAAGAGTAGACCTAAAATTGTGTATAAATATCAGAAACAATTTGTTGATTAGTTGTAAGAAAATATTTATTACAATGAACTAAATATATTATAAGAGTTTTTATCAAAAATTTGTTTTTATTTTGCAAAAAACCTTTACATGATGGGATGTAACGGAAGTTATTTTTAGAATCTGTGATCTTTAAAACATATAATTCAGCAAAAATATTCCATGCAGCTGGAAAAAATATATTTTTTTGCAGACCTGTGTTATTTTTT